GGTACCATGTTCCCATTATACAGATCCCCAAACTGAGGCTTAAAGAGGTAAAGGGACTAGCTTCCAGGCCCTGGGCTCCCCCTCAGCGAAGGTGGGTCTCCAACTCACACCTTCTGATTCTCCATCCAGACACATTCTGGTCTCCAAGGCTTCCATTTGCTGGGCCATAAATAGGCACCACACCCTGAGCTCAGCACTGCAAGTCTATTACTTCTCCGTTTTTGCCTCACGTCAGCCTGAGAAGCAGATTCTGTTACCCCATGGTCTAGATGGGACTGAGGCTCCACCCTACTGTCTCCAACACCAGGTCTGGTCCCCTTTCCCATCCACCACCAGCTCCTACTGAGGGGTAAAGCCAGCCTGTCTCTGTCCAGGGGGACTTTCTCCTTGCTGGGAGAAATCCCTGGAGGTTCAGGTTTCTGGCCCTGAAGAAGAGAGCAGGGTACAACGGGCACCCAGATTCTCAGTAAAACCTGCACCTTGCTTCCCACATGGCTCCATGTGTTCGGGGTGGGGGGGAGGCTGCCCACCCACCACAATGTGTGTGCCTGTGGCACTCAGCTTGGTGGCAGCCCCTTGGGAGCTGAGGGCAGCTGAGAGGAGCACTGTTCTACGCCTTGACCTTGCACCTACTATGTGTCGCGGCTTCCCACACAGTATTTGAAATATTCCCAACATCCCTGCTTTAATTCTATGGTTTTAGAGAAGAAAGACAGGTTTAGAAAAGGAGCAGTCATTTTTCCCAGAGTCACAGGGCTGGGGAGAGGGATTCCCGGACCTGAACCCCAAGGTCCACGCTGAGGACCAAGATCCAGGCCTGCTGGGGAGGTTGCGCCTTTTGAATGAGAGGGGTTAGGGGTGGGGAAGGGCTGGTGAGTGGGAGATGAGTTTCCATCTCACTCTGCCATTGTCTTTGCAGAAGACTCGGTTTCCCCAGGTGTGACAGGTCTGGGTCCCCGTCAAGGCGATCTCATTCCAAATCCCCTCAGCTCCCTGGGGGAGAAGGGTGGAAACCTTCCAGGATCTGAGAACATGTAGCTCGGGACTTCCGGAGTTACAAGGGGAGGCCCAGCACCTGTCCCACTAGGTGACCACTAGGGCTTGAGACTCATCAGCCCCTTTCTCCCTCTCCTGACCTTGGAGTTGGCCATGTCCAGCAGCAAGATGCTCCCCTGCTCTAGCTCCAAGTCCTCACGCCAACACAACTTTGAGCACAGCACTCTACAGTGACCAAGGCTCCAGGACAGTCAAGGGATAAGGAACAGACTCATGTGGCCACAGGTGAGGAGACTGAGGTACATGCAGGGAACTCAAATGACTTGCCCAAGGTCACACAGCTGGTCAGGAGCAGAGGCTGGGGCCGGGCGGCTCATTTTTTGATCTGGTGTCAAACGCCTGGCAGGGACCAAAACAGGCCCCTGCCACTTTTTTGCCTGGGACCACGAGAACTTGGCAAGAACCCAGTGCTTCAGGGAACACGGTGTGACCTTGGGAAAGTCCTTTCATTTGGGTGGGCTTTGGTTGCCCTCTGAAAGATAGAACTTCAGAATGCAGGTGTCTGCTTTGGATTTCTGAGTGAAGCGGTGGCAGAGCGGTCTAGCTGCAGAGGACAGGACGGCAGCTGCTCATAGAGAGCTCTGCCTACCACCCCAGGACACCCTCTGCACCCCTGCCTAGAGTTTTGCCCCCAAACTCCAAGTTCTCCGTCTACTGGTTCCCAGGATGTTGGAACTGGCCTTATCCCAGAAGGTCTAAGTGGGTAGGCCTGACTTCTACTTCACTTCTGCCACTTTCCTGCTGTGTGTGACCTTGAGTGAGTGACTTCATGTGTCTGGACCCAGCTTCCTCGTCTGGGACATGGGGATGACAGCACTGTGGGCGGCCCTCTGGAGGCGGCATGTGCAAATCAATGAGCTCGAAGAATTCTAGCTGGGTTTCTTCCCAGGTCCTCTGACCCCTACCTGTGGCTGGGTGAGGAGGAGGGAGACGGGACAGTGGGAGAGCAGACGCAGGGGCCAGCACATGGCACCAGCCACAGAGCTTTTTGCCCTTCTGGATCTGGAGAGGACTATGGGGGACGCTGGGGGCATCCCAGGCCCCTGCTCTTAGAGACCCCACACTAGTGGGCCAGTTCCTGATGCCAGGAAGGGGTCAGCCTGGCTTCTGGTGGTTGGGCCCTGCATGGGCAGCAGCTGCGCCCGCCCCCTCCCTGGTCTCCTTTCCAACTCCAAGCAGCGATCTCTGCAGAACATCAATAACCCGAGATGGCCTTGCTGAGCCCCTCCTCGGCTCCCTGGGAACGTGAGCTGGCCCGCTCTTGAGGCCTGTGTGATCCTGTGGGGGCCACATGGGACCCAGCATCCCTCTATCCCCATGGACAGTCCCCTAAGGGGCCTCTCCCCAGTGCCCAGCAAGCCACCTGCACTCCCGGAAGCTGAGGGGTGTGTGTATGCACGCAGCATCTGCAGAGGTGCTGCAGCTGTGTGCCCGTGGCCGTCGTGTGGCGTGCACAGCTGACATTCACCTGTGGGCACATTCCAGCATGCGGTGCACCTGCCGGTGCAGGGACAGGCATGCAGATGGCACTTGAAGCTCCACATGTGTGTGCCTGTTGTTTTCACACCTGGGTCAGCCCTCACACCAGCACACTCATTGGTGGCTGCTGCTGCTGCAGGGCTCCATGTGCAGGCTGCTGCATCCTGTGAGGGCTGCAAGCGGGTGTGAGCCGCCCAAGTTCACAGGTGTGTGTGTGTGTGCTCGTGAGCGTGCAAGTTGCATTTGCGTGTGCTGTGTTCTGCATGCAAGCATGTGGCAGTCAGGGATGTGGGCTGTACTTGCAGGTGCTGGGGTGTATTTGTGAGCGCAGGCATTTCAACTGTGTGGGTGCTATCCTTGTATCTGTGGGTCTGAGTGCATCTGTGGACATGCATGTGTCCTGATGTGAACGCCACTGGGGGTGTGAAGGTGGCTTAGATAATGCGGGCCATCCTCATCTTTCCTGGACCCTCCATCTCCCAGGAGGGCTCCCCAGAGCTGCAGCCCCTTCTTGCCACTGCTCCTTCAAGGAAGTTAGCAGGCGGAGGCCCCACAGCCTGCCTGTGCTCCAAGCCCCCTCCTACTGCTCACGTCAAAGGAGAATTTCTCCGGATGGCGCCCGCTGCTCCTGGAAATGCCCCGAACGTCAGCTCTGCCGCCTCCCAGCAATTTGGAGAACCATGCAGGAGAGAAGGGGAGCCCCTAACACACGGAGTAGTGTCACTCCAAGACCCTCTGCCCGCCAGCTCGCCTGCTCACTTATCCTTCTGAAGGTCGAGTCAGGTGGAGCCTCTTCGTGGGGGCCCCCAGGGCTCCCCCAGGGCTCCTGGGACCCTTGTCTGATTGGGGCAGGCCAGCCACAGAGACCCCTCCCATGAAACCTGGGTGAGCAGCGGACAGCTGTGGTGTGGAACAGCCACTTGGCTTAAAGGGGGTGGCTGCAGGTAGTAGCCCACCCACTGCAAGTCCTGAACCCCTTGGCTGCATTTCCTGACCCTGCAGGGGGCAGGGAGGAGCCCCAGGTGTCCTAAAGCTCAGCCAGATGCCACAGAGGCTAGCGAGGAACCGGGCTTCCGGGGCCAAAAGTGCCAACTCCACCACCCAGCATGATTGCTGCAAAATGGCCAGGCCACCCCATTCCTACCACCCTGCTGCCATGGAGGGAACTTGGGGACACGTCCCCAGCACCACATGCACCGGATGGCCTGACCGAGTGACCTGGCAGGCACACAGCAGCCCACCACAGCAAGGAGACCCTTCAGAGGAGCCTCCGGCTGCCTCTTTCCTGGGTCCCTGGCCAGGGTGGGCAGGGGGCACCCTCCTGCCCTCTTCATCTCCCTGGGACTAGGCTGAGAGAGGAGGACCTTGCTCCCCCGCCACCGCCACCAGCTTGCTAGCCCTTGCATAACATCCTTTGGGGGGCAGTTGCAGTCCAGAGGCTGCCGGAATCTACCTGAGACTCCAGGCATCCGTCCACTCCTCCGAGGCCCTCCTGCTCGGGTCCCCAGCATTCCAGCCCCCCCAACCCCCAACATACAGACCCTCACACTCGTGTCTCCCCCAGCGGCGGCTCCCAAGGCAGCCTCAGCGGCCGCCAGATAAACAAGCCCTGCTCCCCCCTCCCCTCCACACCGCCACCACCACCGCCACCACCATCAGCAGTGACAAAAAAAAAAAAAAAAATCAAATGAAATGAAACAAAATAAAAATGGGTGCGGGAGGAAGGGGAGAGCGGAGTGGGGCGCTTTTTATTTTTTATTTGCTCATGCCGGGGAGGGGGGATGCCGGTACTTACTTGGCTACGAAAATCACCACCAATCCTGCACGGCTTCCAGGCGGGCAGCCCCGTAATCGCGGTGCGGCAGCTGGTGCCGCGGCTGAGCCCAGCCGGCGTGCCCGGGTCCCTCTGCAGACTGTACCATCCTGCCCGAGCGGCTGGGGGGGCGGGGGGCGGAGGCGCGGCGCCGGCTCTAGGAGAGCATCGCGCCCGCAGAATGCAATCCCGGGGGAGGGGGAGGCCGCCCTCGGCTGCCGGAGGCTGGGGGAGGGCCGCGGGGCGGGCGGCCGCTGGGGGCGCTGGGGGCGCTGGGGGCGGAGAGTGCGGGGCCTGGGGGCGGGTGTGGACCGAACCACCGCCGTGTTGTTGGCGGTTTGAATTCCTCCCGTGGGAGCCGGAGGAACCAAAGCTGGCAGAGTCCCAGGAATATGCCCGCTCCCCAGGAGCAAGAGGGAATGTCAAGGGCATGGGGAGGGGAGGGGGGGCTGAGCGCGAGGGGAAGGGGTCCCCAGAGTGGTGCGAGGAGAAGTGGGAGCAGAGCGGGGGCGGGGGGACAACCGGTTTGGCTTTAGATAGCCCCCGAGTCATCCTTTACTTTCTGGGGACTCTTAGGTTGGGCAGGGGCTCTGGGTCCCCCCTCTTTGTGGCCGGGATGCCCCCCCCCGACCTGGGGGCAAAGGTCGCCTGGGGGAGAAGCGGACTGAACACAGCCTAAATCCGTCTGTGGCTGCAGGGCTCCTGGAGCAGAGCCTGCCGCCAGCTCCCTGCGGCCACCTCAACATTCCCTCTGCAACCGGCCCCCAACTGTGTGCACCCCACCTGCCCTGGGAGGGGGCCAGGACTGGCAGTAGACCCCCCTCAAAGGGTCATTCTGTGGCTGCCAGGGGCCCACCAGGAGGGATATACGCATGTGTCTGTACTTCCACGTAATCTGCGTCAAGTTGGGGGCTGGCTGCTCTCCGGGGCTGACCATGCCTGGGGACCCCAGGGATCCCCTAATGAGGAGCGTGAAAGAATGGAACCCCCAGCCAGCTACCCACTTCTTCCTGTCTGGTCTCTGGTACGTCTCTGCCCCTTTAATTCTGGGCAGGTGGGATCACTACCCTAGGAGCAAGTTGGGAGGTTAGGGTGGGAGAGGGGTCTCTCCATGGTTCTGAACCCCCCCTCCATTGCCCTGTCCCCCTTTCCCAGGGGTGCTGTGCTGGAGGGAGGGCACAGAAGGTGGGAGAACCTTCAGGATGAGTGTCTTGTGGCACCTGTCAGTGTGGAGGGGGTGCACGGGGGGAAGGGGCAGGGTGGGGGCTGCCCCAGGAGCCAGTCCCAGGCTGAGGCAGCTCCTTCTCCTGCTCCCATCCTTTGCCCACCTCTGAGCTGCCCGCCCAAGCGTCCCGCGCTGCCGCTCCATCCCTGGGCTGGCACAGAATATCAATTTGTCTCGTTAAGCTGAAAGTCTGCACTGCACCAAAATCAGAACCCGGCCGTGTGCGGAGGGGCCGCGGGAGGGAGGGCGCCAGGAACGCCCATGCAGGGCCCACCAGCAGGACCTGCCGACAGCCCATTTCTGCTCAGCCCCCCAGCCCCACCCAAGGGTCCCATCTGCCCCTGGCAGTGGCTTCAGTGTACACAGGATGCTGAGAAGCTAGGGATGCTGAGCCCTGGGTTGTCGGTCAAGGTTCTGGGCAGGGCTGTGGTCACAAACCAGGGAGGGTCTCCTGCTGGGGTTCCCCCAGAACAGCCCAGGACCCCCATCAGAGAGACCCCTGCCCCCACACCAACAGCCAGGGCCTGGCGGTTTCCAGAGCAGCCTCATCCTGGGTGTAGGAGGGAGAATTCTACCCTTTTGCAGGGGCAGATGGGGGGATCTGAATAGCAAACCTTCCACGTGGACTTCCAAGTTGGCTCCATCCCTGATCAGCACCCCCCCCCCAGGCCAGGGCCAGGCCAGGTGCCACCCACTCCCCAGACCTGCAGACAGTGCTACTTCCCACGGTGGGACCAAGGGAGGGTGCTCTGGGATGGCTGGGGTGAGCATGGGCAAAGGGCAGGGGGTGAAAGGCCCTGCGGCTCCCATCTGGCCAAGCAAACATGCCTATGCCAGGAATGGCACCATTATTAGTGCACCATCTTTGCCAACTGTGTTCTCTAAGTACAAAACAAATAGCCCCAGAAGTATCCCATTATGAGCCACCACCCTTCATCAATACGACCCCTCTGTGCCCAGCACCCTTGACAGTTTGTCAAGACCACCTGCAAAACAGTAAACCATTTCATTCTTACAAGTACTGTGGCCACCCAGATGAGCAGGCCCTGTGTGGCTCAGAAGAGTGTGGTGGCGAGGGTGAGTCTGCACAGCCAGTGAGGGGTAGACTACATGTGTGACCGAGGTGGTTTCCAGCCCAGGGTTCCCTATGTGGGAAAGCCAGCTGGGTGAGGGCTGGCTAGGAACTCCGTATTTATCCACTTGGAAGACTGTGTCCTGTCTGCCCAGTGGGCTGGGCCTCACCAATAAGGTACCAATAGCCAAGCTCTGAGGCCCTAGCACTGGCCCCAGGCCAAGATCCCATCTCCTTGGCATTCTAGGCCCTGTGTTCTTCCAAATCCAAGTCCATACTTCAGTAATGCATGCTACCTATCTGCAGAAGCAGCCCAAGTGTTGAGTTGCATAGTGTTTCCTGGAATATACATACTCTGCCTCTAGGCCCATGAACTCCTATTCATCCTTCAAAGTCCAACTCAAATACCCCTTTGCTGAATAGTCCTTCCTGATTCCACAAACTGAGTGGGCTCCTGCCTCTGTCCTAGCTCTGACCAGGATGGCCTGTCTCTCTCAGCTATGACTACATTGGATGTCTCCAGGGTCTCAGGTGCTACCTCCCAGCAAGTGGTAGGTACCATAGTCAAGGCTTGAAGAGTTTGCTGCTATGTGATTTTGAGTCACCAAGTGCCAGACCCAGAAGGACCCTGAAGCATGCATACTCAATCCTCCCATTTTACAGGTGAACAAACAGAGGCCTCAAGAAAAAGCTGTAAGGTATTGGCCTAAAGTCATTCTGAAGGCAGGGCTGGCCACAGGCACCCATCTGCTGTCCCTGCCCTGCCTCTTCCTGCAGCACTCATATGTGGGTCATCTGACCTGTCCTTCCAGGATATGTTGGGGGACGGGGCGGGCAGAGGTGTTGGGAAATCAGACAAACAATGGCGCTAGTGTTGCAACTCTGGGAAGGTTGGAAACGACAGGTCAGGGTCATTCACGGGGAAGAGGGAGGAAGAGGCAGGGGCCAGCCAGAGGGTCACTGACAGTTCTGTCCCAGTCTGATTTGGCTCAGGGTGGACACACTGAGGGTCAGGCCTGGGGAAAGGTACGGGAAGTTGGGGAAAGGGGGAGGGCGCCAGTCTCATTTGGTTTTTGGACAGTATTTAGTTGGCCAGATCCTGTTTTGTCCCCTCGGGAGAGATCTCGGGGCTGGGGCACAGGGCCAGGGTGGGGAGCTGGGGCCAGTCTGTTGGGGCACCTCTGCCCAGGAGAGATGGACGAGGTAGGTACAGACAGGTCTGAGGGAGGAGGATGGGATGCAGGCAGAGGCCGGCAGCGTCACTCTATGAGACACAGGCTCTGGGTTTCCTGGCTTCTTACAGGAAGCACAGGGAGGGGACTCACCCACACTTGAATTTTTTTTTCTTGGCTCTGGGTCTTGAGACATGTGGGCAGGGGGCCTTGGCCGCTCTTGGGTGGGGTTGGCAGCTGCCACAAAGAGTGGCTAGGTGGCCCCTCAGGCGCAAAGTCCTTTCCTAGGGCCCTTCACCTCTCTCTTCTGACCTCCTCGGATCACCCTCGGATCACCCTCAGGTCTGTGGGCATTTCCCTGTTTTACAGAAGAGGAAATGGAGACCTGGCGACCTCAAGGATTTGCTTCAGAGTTCCAGAGCCAGTGAGGGCCAGAGCTGGGAGAGATCACATCTGCCCCGTGCAAGCCCCAGGCCCTTCCCTCTGCTCCTGCCTGAAGTGACCCAAGTCTGAGGCAACCATTCATGATCTCCTAGATCCGTGACCTTGAGGAGCTGTGGCCACACACTACAGGAGACCGATGGCCTAGCTTGTCCCAAATCTCCCCTCCAGCTGAACTACCTACTCCTAGGCCTGCCAAGTCCCCAAATTCCCTTAGCCAACCAGGTCTGGGGTGGGGACTTGTGGCCTCCAGGCCTAGGTTCAACTCCTAATCCCTGTTTCATGATGTGTGACTTTGGGCAAATGACTTGATGTCCGAGTCCCAATTTTCTCATTTGCAAAATGGGCACCACACTGCCTATTTGTAAATTAAAGGAAAATGGCAGCTGGTGTTAGTAGAAGAGCATGGGTGGGGCTCCCCAGAAGGCCTCTGGGAAAATGCTCTGTATATGATGGTTCTTGGTTACCACCAGGCCCCCAAATGTCCCCTCCTGCTATTGGTTCTTGTTTCCTCAGTGAGGAGGTGCAGGCCTGGCTTCTGGTGAACTCCAGACAGCCACCATTCAGGTCAACCTGTTCAGGTCAACAGGGCCTTCTGCACGGTGCCCAGTGTGTGGCCTTCGCACAACCCTGAGAGGTAGGTCCTCCTTTATCCCCATTTTACAGATTAGAAAACTGAGGCACAGCAAGGTAGCTGTGGGCATGTCTCCGGGGCCACACAGGTCAGAAAGCAGCCCCGGGAGAGCCCACTCCAGCCTCCCACCTGGGCAGGGCAGGTGTGTGGTGATGGCTGCCTCTGCCTCCCTTTTGGGAGGCCAGAGGCCAAAGTCAAGGGTTTGAGTTCACACAGCTGCTGCAAATGGAGCCTGTGAGGCCAAGAAGAGAGCTGAGCACTTTCCCTCCTGGGAGGACAGACAGTCTGGGGATCAGGAGCATCTGGGAGGACTGCCTGGGGGAGGCTGCCTCTTCCAGTCTCATCCTGCCACCCCTGCAGGCTAATGCCACCCTGACACATCTCACACCTCCTGACACCGCCCATTCCCATCCAGCCACCCTGCCTCCTCTGCTCTCCTGCTACCGACCCACCCCCTGCAGCTTTAGCGGGCTCTAAATCCCCTTAAACCCTTTTTTTGGCCGCCCTGTGTCATCTACCAGCGTAAGTCCCAAATGCCTCATGACTGTCTCAGACCTGTCCCTCTCCCCTCTGCCCCACACCAGCCTCCACTGCTCCCCAAGCACACTCTTGTGTTTCCACACCTCTGGGTCTTGGCACGCCGCTGCCAGGAATCCCTTCCTTCCCCCCACTTCTGCCCAGCAAACTCCTACTCATCCATCAAGAGCCTGCTCCAGCAGCTACTCTTTCATGATGACCCCACCAATGCCCTGCCCCCCAAGCAGAATTTGTCTTAATTAAATTTTTTTTTTAAATTAGTAATGGGAATTAACCCAGAGGCACTAAACTGCTGAGCCACGTCCCCAGTCCTTTTTATTTATTTTTTTTTATTTTGAGACAGGGCCTCGCTAAGTTGCTGAGGTTGACCTTGAACTTGCAATCCTCCTGCCTCAGACTTCTGAGTTGCTGGGATTACAGGCATGCACCATGGTACCTGGCTCTGTGTGTCTGTCCCTCTGGGTAAGGGATTCCTAGTGGACAGGAAATAGTCTCACTTGCCTGTGGTACCCCCAGAAGTGGGCACAGAGTCTCAATTATTTTTATTGGTTGAACTCATGAGTATAGGTTTGTTGAATGAAAAACCAGCCCCCCTAGTAGTTTTGAACTGTGTTTGCATCTCTGTAGCTTTGGAAATGTTTTTTGGAGTCACTGAGGAGCCCTGGCCTAGGATTTGCTATTTTCTGAGCCTGTTTATGAGCTTTGGGAAGAGCAGAAAGTAACCCCAACTTCAATCAAATACTCGTGTTCAGAGATGTCTTAACTGGAATTAGGATGTTGGAGTCCAGGGTTGGATTCCTGGCAAGATGAGCACTCAGGGAGGAGTCCCTGTCCCTAAATGCTCCCTCTCAGTTACCTATGGCCTGACATTCCACCATTAGTGATTCATTTCTTTGGATCATTCAGTCAACAAATCTTTATTCAGCTCTCCCTGGAGGGGAGGCACTGTGCTGGACCCTTGAGTTGACATTTAAGTGTGTATGTGCTACTTCTCCTTCTGGAAGGAAGGAAGAAACAGAAGGGGTGGGATATGAGTAAGACTGGAGGACTGGGCACTACTGGGATCATTAGGGATCAAATAGCCACCTCAGTCTCTGTCCTGTCTGAATAGCACAGAGGCCACGTGGTGTCTTCTGAGCATGCTCACACACCCCCACACCCCCAACAGCCCCGCTATGTGGAGTGTCACTACCATCTTACCCATGAAGAAACTGAGTTTGGAGAGGGGAGGCGATGAGCCCAGGATGACAGAGCTGGAACCAGCATCAGAACTCAGCCCTGCCTGGGCTGCTCAGGTGCAGGGGGCACTGGCTCACCCCTTACTGGTGTCCAGATGGCCAGGGCTCTCAGAGCCACCACAGCTCTTCCTTGCCACTCAAGCCCCACCCTCTGGGACCCAGGGTGGCCCATGTGCCTCTTTGTCCTCCACTGTACAGGCAGCAGGGGTGCAGGGGTAGGTGCAGAGAGCACGGGAGCTGGGGCTGATGGCCTTCCACAGAGCCCTGCTCCAGCTGATGGGCTGTGTGACTTTGGACAAGCTCCTCAACCTCTGGGGCCTCAGGCTCCTCATCTGTAAAATGGGCAGGATGCTGTGTGCCGCCTGCCTCTCCGTCTGCTCATTTGTTCAACAAATACCCATCGAGCACCTTGTGCCCAGCTTCTGTGCTGTGTGCTAAGAAGACGGTGCAGAAAGAAAAGCTCCTCCTGGGCTGGGGATGTGGCTCAAGCGGTAGCGCGCTCTCCTGGCATGCGTGCGGCCCGGGTTCGATCCTCAGCACCACATACAAACAAAGATGTTGTGTCCGCCGAGAACTAAAAAATAAATATTAAAAAAATTCTCTCTCTCTCTCTCTCTCTCTCTTTAAAAAAGAAAAGAAAAGCTCCTGGTTCTTGCTCTCAGGAGGGGTTATAGACAGATGTGAAATGAAATGATCAGGCAAATCAGGGTGTATTTACAGAGGGCTCTAAGACACCATGGAAGAGGCTGTGGGTATGTTCAGAAGGAGACCGGATGCCTCTACAAGAGCAGCAGGAACCATAGAGGGTCTCTCAAGGGGGTCATGACTCAGTAGGGCCTGAAGGCCGAGCAGAAGCTCACCAGGTTAAAGGAGGGGGTGGTTTCTTGATGCTGAGAATGGCATATGCAAAGGCCCTGAGGCTGGAAAGAACTTAGGAATTCAGAAGAAATGGAAAGGAGGCCTGAATGACTAGAAGGAGAGAGTGGGCAAGGGGCAGAAGAGAGGTTGGAGCCAGGCACACGAAGTCCTGTGATCAGTTTATAGATTCCCATTAGAATTGTACACCAAGGTCAGCCACCTCCCACCAGCCACCAAGGTGCAGTCACCTCCCACCTTCAATAGGCATTGACGGAAAAATTATGCGTGTCAAGTGCTCTTTGTTTAGAGTTTCCCACACATGGACTCTTTTAATTCTCCCCAAGACCCTTTAAGGTCATTCTGGTCACCATTCTCCATGGTGAGATGGAGGCACAGAGAGATCACGTGATTTGGTCAGGGTGGTCGCGCTGGTGAGTGTACTTGGGATTTGAATTCTGAGACCCTCCCTGTGCTTCATTTCCTTGCTCTGGGTCTGGGTCCTGCTTGGGTCCTGCCAGGGGGTCCAGCGAATGGCCCTGGGGAGCAGAACAGAGAGGAGGTGGGATGGGGGCCAGAGCAGGGCCTGGAGGGGGAGGATAGGCAGGAACTGGCTGCCCTCGGGAGACTGGGGTGCTGATGCGGCCTTGCTAGGTTCCTTGAGGTCATCCCCACGGGAGTATTGCACATGCTCCCCAGAGGCTGCTGGGGCCCAGAAACTTCTGGAAAGTCCTTCTTGGATGCGCCTTTGGGCTGGTTTATGGGGACAGGCTTTTGTGTCCCCCCAGCTAGTCCTACTCTTCCATTTTACAGATGGGGGTCCCAGGGCCCAGACAGGGGTCACCTCCTGCCATGGACACAGCAAAGCCAGGGTTGGGAGGTGAGGGCTTACAGCCCTTCAACCCCATAAGAAACTCCTGTTACTCTGTGGGGCCTCCTTGCTCAGAAACCGCCCTTATCAGATGTGCTGTCTCCCTGGGTGGCCCCCTCTGCAGGCCCTGTGTGGATGAGGATCCCCAAAGGCTGGGCCAGCTCTCTCACTAGCCCACCAGCAGGCAGCCCAGGAGGCGAGAGGAGCACTGGGCCAGCCCAGCAGAGGTGGGACAAACTGTGGGGGACAGGAAACACTTGGGCCTCTTCCCTCCAGCCCTCCTGACCCACCAACCTTCCAAGGCTGGTTTGCAAAGACCAAACAAAAGCAGGACATGGGACGCTCTTGCAAACCAAACAGCTTCTCAGATATAAGGTGTTATTTCTTTGGGGGGGCACGGAACATAAAGCAGGGTCTTGGTGATCAGAGAGAAGTAGGATTGAACCCCAGCTCTGTCACGTATTAGTAGGGGGCATTATTGAGCTGGTCACAGGGCCAATTTGAACTTTAGTTTCTACACCTGTGCAAGGGGAATAATGATAACTGGAACTCTGGGAGTTCTGGGAGGCATGAATGACTGATGTGTTTGTTTATGGCACGTAGTAGGTGCTCAGCCAAGTCTAGCTTGCTTCTCTATTGTTTCTGTTCTGCAAAAGAAGCAATGCTTTCAAATTACAGAGCATCCAGTCTTTGGTTTCAAACAAAATTAAAGAGAACTTCAGGGTAGCATTGACTCATTCTTCAGCGTTAACTGAGTACCTATTACATGCCTAGTGGTGGGAGACAGACTCAAGCTTGGCAGAAAGACATTCAGTTGCAAAGAAGTACGGGGAGGAGGAAGGGTTTGCGGAGCCCAGTGGGCTGTTGAGGGGTGCATCTGCCCTGAATAGAGGGGAAGGTCACATTTCTATTTTGATGCTTCCCTGAAAGGGCATCTGCAACCTCCCAGGACCTCCCCCAATGGTGGCAATCATCTCCCTGTGACTTGGTGGAAGCTCCCAACTGCCAGAGCCATAGATGAGCTCACCCATTGGCCTCCTTGACAATTGAACCCCTTCACCTTTCTAAGCCTCATTTCTGTCAATCACATGCCGCTCATAGGTACCTCAGGCCTGAGAATGAACTGAGATGCTGCCTGTAAAATTTTTCTCTGCTATGTTATATGCACCATAAATAGTCTTTTAAAAATTACCCACAAGGCCTTCCTCTGTTCCTTGAAACTAGCAGGCCACAAGTAACTCCATTTTGTGGCATGGCTTCGAGCGTTCTGGAATTGCTGGCCCTGGCTCACAGAGTCAGCTGAGCACATCAGTGACCTCATACTGAGCTTACACTCTGCTTCCATGGGACTGTTTACCCACAGAGACTGGCTAATACCATAAACCAGGACACCCACCCCCAGAGAGCCTGCTGTTAGCCATGTTCCAGCACACCACAGAGCCTGGGCAGGACCTCCACACAGCTGCCTGGAGCCCACTACCTTCCGGGTCTCAGGGCCCTTTTCTGCCCTGATTCCCTCCACCTCCTCCCTCCGGGAGATGGCTGCCCTGGCCCTGGCCTGGCCCTGGTTTTCATCTCAGTGATGCCGATTTCTCTTATCTCTCTTGCCACTGATTGCCGATGGTCCTAAAGGGATTTCAGTGTCAGATGAGGTGAACCTGGTAAGGCATTGCCCTAAAAATCTACTGGCCACCATCTCTCTCCTTCTCCTCCTTTATCCTTTCTTGCTGCTGAACCCAAGGGCCCCTCCCCAATCCTTATCCTTTCTGCCTTGGGTGCCCCAGATAGTACCTCATTTAAATTCTCCTCCTTGAATCTCCAGAACCCTCAACACCCACTCCTTGGACCTTTCCACATCTAAGGTTCTTCCTCCAGTCCCGAAAGTTGTACCAGCCCTAGAACTGGTTTGGTCCTTCCTTCAGCCTGTGTGGCACTGGACAAGTTACTAGACCTCTCGGAGCCCCAACAGCAACAACAGCAGTATATGCTAGGCTCTCGCCACATGCCAGGCACCATCCCCACAGCTTGCCCTGTTTCCCTGTCTGCAAAATGGGGGCAACCCAGGGCCTCACCCCGTGGAATTGTGGGATGCTCTCCAGCAACAGATTTGTGAAATGGGCTTGCTGATGGAAAGCGGCACCCTAACGCTGTTACTCTACTTTGAAGGGCAACGCTTGTTTAGATCTACAATTTTTAGATGTGTTTAAAAAAAAAAAAGTGCCACAGGCATGTTATTTATAGTCAGCTCCCATACAGGTGTTGATGGTTCCTAGCCTGCTCTGCTAAAAATAGCCAACGACAAAGGGCAAGTCTGCTCTGCCTACCTGAGGAATCTACAAAGAGCCAGGCTCTTGATTCTCTGCCTTAGCGATGGGAGCACTCCTGCCGGCTGAGGGCCAGGCCGCAGCCCCTCCAGTGAGTCCTCACTGGAAGACCTGGGCCCACCGGAGGAGCTGGGGGAGGCTGGGGGAGACTGGGGGGTCTCTGGACGCCTGCTAGTGTGTGTCACTGGGCAGGCATGTGCTGGCCTTGGTCACCTCTTCCCCCTGCCTGGTGAGAGGTGATGGTGGAACAACTGTAGATTAAAGGGGAGGAGAACTGGGCCTGGCCCCTGGGGTGCAGTGTGAGCCTCAGTTTCCCCACATTCAAAAGAGAGGGTTGAAGGTAAGAGGCATGAGAATTTGCTCTCGATCGAAGATGCACACAGGCTCTGTTCTTCTTTCCCTCCCTCTGGCCTGCAGACCTGGGGACTCAGGTAACGCTCACCCTCTGGCCCGGATAATGGCAACAGAGGTGATGGAGATACTCAGCCCCTACCTGTGCGGTGACTCACCACGCAGGCCCAGGCGGCCGGCAGGGGGAGTAAACTCACTGAGTCCTGGTCACCCTGCTGGGGAACCCCTTTGTCCCCTTCTGACAGATGAGGGAGGAGACGGAGCCCAGGGAGGCGATTTCATATGCAGTCTCATACCAGACAGTGCCAGCTCCTGGCTTGCTCTTGGCTCCTGGCACCAAATTGGGCCCAGTGGGAGGGGGACAGGAGGACCAAGAGCTTGCTTTGTCCACAGCTGAGGGAGTGATGGTCATGCACAGGATGACCCTCCTGCAGGCAGGGAGTGGCAGTGGATGGTCAAGCTGTTTCACATGGCCTTACCAGTTGGAAAATGGCAGGGAATGGCATTCCAGGGCTGGGCATAGAAGGTGGAGGGTTGGGGTGGGACTCACAGAAGATGAGGACCTCGGAGGGGAGTGCATGCAACCCCACAGCACAGAGGCTCACTTACCAGGAGCCAGAACCCCTCAAACCTCAGTAGTGATGTTTGGCAGCCCCAAAGTAACACTGCTATAGCTGGGATCCTAACCTACCTTGAAGGCCCATGTGTTAAAGGACTGGTCCCCAGGGTGGAACTCTTAGGAGGTGGTAGACCCTTTAAGAGGCGGAGCCTAATGGGAGGTGCTTAGGTCTTTAGGGGGCATGCTCTGGAATGGGTCCCTGGAATTCTGCCCCTCCTCACTGGCTCCACGGTGAGAGGTTTTGTTCTTCTCTTTCTCCACAGACCTGCAGCAATGAGGGCCACTTAATCCCAGAATGGAACCTCCCAAATTGTGAACTAAAATAAACCTTTCTTCTTTAGAAGTTGATTATCTCAGATATTGCGTCATAGAAACAGAAAGCTCGAATATGCACACACTCAAAATTTGTCTTTGAATCAACTCCTTAAAAAAATACCAGACACCTATTGAGTGCCATTGGCCCTCTGCATCCACAGTTTTCCATATCTCATATCCAACCAACCATGGATCAGACATATTTTAAAATTGCCTCTGTACTGAATATGTACAGACCTTATTGTTTCGTCATTGTTCTTCGAAC